CTTGAGCTTATTTGAGCTTGGGGTGTTACCTAGGCCTCCGGGAGGTGCACCAGAGTCTCTGTAATGAGGGTCTAAAAGGAAATGGGTAGGTGATGTGTCATGAACACAATGGGTGATCTGCACGCCACACCCTAGTCCTGGTATCTCTGGTTTCCAGGGAGGAGAAGGGCCTGCCTTCAGAGCCAGACAAGATAGCCAGGTACTAGGGAATAAATATCAAGTCCGAGGGAAGTGTCAAGTGCAATTAGAGACTGAGTCCCATCCCAGACCAAGTGGCCAACCGCCCCTCCTCCCCTCCCATTGGCTATGGGCAGAAGTTGGGGACACACCCCCAGAGGAGTGAGTCTGACTGGGCAGACCAAATGCCAAGAGGCAAGGCTGCCTACCCATGTCAGGCCAAGCCCAGGGAGAGGTAATGAGTAACTGGGCTCACTGAGATGCAGCCTGTGTAACCAAGCAACCTCGGGGTTAAGTCATCCGGAGACCACGGAGCTGGAGCAGCACCCCCAGCCCCAGGGCTGGCAGGCCACATTCTCAGAGTGCCAGGCCCACGGCGCTGGGACTCCATGCTCTCCCCCCACCAGCAATGGGAGGCCTGGCCAGGTCCTCCAGAAAGATCAGATCGCCCTCGGACATTAAAAGCAACAATTTCTGTCTCTGTCCAAAAGTGCTTACTGGCTGACAATGCCCATAGGAGGGGAAAAAACAAACCTGCTCAGTCCTCACTCCCCACATTTCTGTTTCTTCCAAAACAAATGTATCCTGAGAATTCCCTGGAAAAGGCGCAGGCTTGCCCCTGTGTGCAGGCGTGCTACGTGCCCCCAGGCTTCTGGGGATCTGTGTGCTGAAGGATAGGCCCAGGTCAAAAGGAGACAGAGTGAAGGATGCAAAACTTGGAGGCCCTTTGAGAATCCTGAGAGACACCCTGCAGAATCCTGTCTACTACTCGATCGCCAGAAGGCCCTGAGTTGGCAATTTGGGTCTCCCTCCCTGGCCTGGTGAGCACTCCAGGTAGCCGACCAGGAGGCTCACAGGCAGCTGTGCTGGGCCCCACCAGCCCACTTCACTCTCAGAAAGGCGCTCATCCCGCAGAGCCTCGCCCACGTGGCAGGCAGGCAGCTGGCAGCTTGTTTTATGAACATCCAAAATCCAAGGGAACCACAAAACCACACTGGGCTGTAGACACTGGGGACGCCCCTGTCTCCTCCTCTGGGGCTGGGTTCTGCTGGGCCCTGCCTGATCCCCGGGGCCCCACTGTCTCCTAGTCTAGCCATTCAGCTCCATGAGCTGGGAACACCTGCGTTCTCCCCGGGCAGCCCTGAGAATCGGGAGTGGGGGAGGGTGCAGGTGGGAGGTCCGTGGCAGAGCTCAGAGGTTCGGTAACCAATAGAGACTACTTGGAACCCTCTCAAGTGTCTGCAGCCTTATCACTGCCCATTATAACTTCCGACCAAGGGGGAGAAATCAGGGGTTTGGGGAACTCTGGCGGCTAAAAGATGGTATGGGGAGGGGCAGCAGGGAAAAGCGACAATTTCCTAAAACTGTCTTTTTTCACTGAGTAATATGTGGAGGATATATTTCCGTGTCAGGAGATATATTGTACTGTATTCATTTTTTATATTATTATGAAAAATGGTAAATATTTTCAAGAGCCTTCTTCAGCTGTGAGAGTTGAAAGGTGTAGAGATGGACAGATAACTGGACCAAGAAAGAGTTAGGCTTCTCCCCACCCCTCTTGCTTCCTGGCAGTCACAATGATATCACAGATCTTAAGACCTTAGCTTAGGCATAACCTTCTTCTCCCTAGCCAGGTGGATGGTCCTCCCTGGCCATTGGTCTTTATCTCCGTAAGGTTTTCTTTTCCTTCTGCGCACTTCATCACAATGTTATCTTTTTTTTTTTCATTGTTTATTGCAGTGATGGCGAACCTATGACACGCGTGTCAGAGGTGACACGCGAACTCATTTTTTTGGTTGATTTTTCTTTGTTAAATGGCATTTAAATATATAAAATAAATATCAAAAATATAAGTCTTTGTTTTACTATGGTTGCAAATATCAAAAAATTTTTATATGTGACACGGCACCAGAGTTAAGTTAGGGTTTTTCAAAATGCTGACATGCCGAGCTCAAAAGGTTCGCCATCACTGGTTTATTGTCTTTCTCCTCCACTAGGTTATTAGCTCCATGAGAACAGATGTAATCTAAGCACCTAGCATCATTCTGGCACATAATGAGTAATCAATTACTATTTGTTAAATGAATGAATTCTAGGTTTGGAGGTAGATGCCAGCAAACATAAGCTGTGGTCCCTACTTTTAGTCTTACTATTTAAGTAGTGAAAAAGGTGACTGTGTTTAAAAAAAAAAAAGTAATGGATAAATGAGAGCATTCAACAAAGTCTTAGAATAATTATTTGAGGCATTCATAAGCAAAAAGATACGTTACATCTCACACCTTATAAAAAATTAATTCAAAAAAGATCATCGATCTAAATGTAAAATATAAAACTTTTAGAAGAAAACATGAGAGAAAATTCTTCATGAAGATTTTAGGTGAAGAGTTCGTAGACCTGACACCAAAATCACAATCCATGACAGACAATTGATAAATTGGATTCATCAAAAGTTAAAATTTTTGCTTTGTGAAAGACTCTATTAAGAGATGAGAAGACAAGCCACAGATTGGGAGAAAATATTTACAAAACACATTTCTAACAAAGGGCTTGTATCCAGCCAGAATATAAAAAGAACTCTTAAAACTCAACAGTAAAAATATAAGCAATCCAATTAGAAAATAGGCAAAGACTTCAACAGACACTTCACCAACGAGAATATGAGGATGGAAATAAGCACATAAAAATATGTTCAACATCATTAGCCAATTGGGAAATGCAAATTAAAATCATAATGAAAAACACTACACAAGTATTAGTACAGCTAAATACCAAAGATTGAGTCTACCAAGTGGATGGTCCTCCCTGGCCATTGGCTGTTTATCCAGTCATCCAGAACCCTCATCCACAAATGGTGGAAATGTAAAATGGCCCAGCCACTCTAGAAAACAGTTTAGCAGTTTCTCATAATATTAAACACACTCATCCTGTGACCTAGCAATCACACTTCTGGGTATTTATCCCAGAGAAATGAAAACTATGTTCACACAAAGACCTGTCCATGAATGTTCAAAGTAGCTGTATTTGTAATTGTCAAAAAGCAGCAACAACCCAATGTCCTTCAATGGATGACTAGATAAACAGCCTGTGGTATATCCATACACTGGAGTACCATTCAGCAATGAAAAGGAACAGGTGTAATAACCTGGGTACAACACAAGGGCATAACTCGACCCCTTCCTCGGGAATGATGTGCTACTGTCAGAGGCATGGGGAAGCTTGTGCTGGTTCCTTTGTGGGAGAGGACTTGTTGGACCACAGCAATAAAGCATTGTGACCCTGGGCTCTCTGCCAACCATGGAAATTGTTCTGTCCTGCAGGCTCTCTCTTTGACTCAGGGACTACAGCTTTTGTTCACAAGGAAACACTAAGATAATGAGTTCCTTGTTTTCCTCTACATGGTTCATCCTAGATCGGTTCTTTCCAGAGAGAATTCTGCACAACATTAATGCCATGATATGCTCATTAAAAAGTAAGTTTGGGCCCGGCTGGTGTAGTCGATCAATGAATCAGGAGGTCACGGTTTGATTCCTGGTTCCGGGTTGTGGGCTCGATCCCCAGTAGCGGGTGTGCAGGAGGCACCCGATCATGATTCTCTTTTATCATTGATGTTTCTGTCTCTCTCTTCCTATCCCTTCCTCTCTGAATTCAATAAAAATATATTTAAAAAAAATAAGTTTGGGTAATACTATCTTCAGTAGCCCATCCTAGGATTAATGCAGTGGTGTGTACTGTGAAGGGGGTGAGAAGTCCAGTAGATAAGAAGCCTGGTTAACTTTAACTTTGCTTTAACCTGCTGCCCAAGCCAATTTGACCCTGGGCCACACACCTCCTGCCATGGCTCCTTCTTTAGTAACATCAGCTCTAAGGTCACATTTCAGGAAATGGCGCTCCTGGCCAATTTGTCCAGGTGTAGAATTGAGATTCACTACACCGGGCACCATAAAATGTTGGCATCTCTAGCCCCATCCATGAATCAGGAATATTTTGTTCCTGAAAAATATAGCTCTCTTATATGTGGCCTCTGCATCTCAATTAAGATGAATGTATAAGTATTTGAAAGATTAAATGAGTTTTTATTTTATTTTTTTATGCTTTTCTTGATTTGAGAGAGAGAAAGAGAGAGGGATAGATAGAAACTTTGATGAGAGAGAAACATCGATTGGCTGCCTCCTGTACGCCCCCTACTCGGGACTGAGCCCACAATCTGGGCATGTGACCTGACTAGGAATCAAACCGTGACCTCCTGGTTCATGGGTCGACCCTCAACCACTGAGCCACACCAGCCGGCTGTGGTGACTGGTTTGTAGGTGGCAATGACCCCAGCACCCAGGACTTGGGTGGATTCTAATGAGGAAGTCAGGCCTGGCATCTGTGCAGTGTACCTGCCACAGGCACAGCCACCTTCCCAGACTGATTCAGACGCCACTGAGATCAGGGGTGGGGAGTTGCTTAGAGAGAGAAGTGGGTTAGGCAGACCTGGTAGCTGTGCTTTGTGCTGAGTGAGGGTAATCCACTTTTGCTGCCAATCCCCTCCCAGCAGGAAAAATAAAGTTTTTAACAAAACACCCTCCCGCCAACTACAACAAAACCCAAACTATACAGACCCCCACTGCTCAGGAGCCCTGGTGTTGTGAAAACAGTGAACCCCAACCTGCTTTTGAAGGTCTACCCCACCTAAAATGACTCTTACTTTTTAAGAGCATTGCTTTTTGTTTCAGCATCTTTCTGTGAGAGTTTTCTGATCCTCCCCACCCCCACCCCAGGAGGGAGAGGGTCTAGGAGTTGGGTCCAGGCCTCAGCTTCCTTCTCTGACTTCCTCCCAGAACACCAGGCTGGCTTTGAAGGGCTTCAGGCAGAGGACTGCGGCCCCCTGAACGGCTGTGAGAATGACCGCTGGTGCCTGTGCGGGGGGGATCCCAGGGGGACATGGCCCACATGGCCTGTGTGGGTACGTTTGGCATCCGAGTGGCAATGCCGGGAAGCAGGCTGGCCCTGGCGGCTCCATGGGGGAAAGTCAGACTGGCCCCTTGCTCACTTTAGGGATGCATCAAAGGAAAAGACTGGAGCAGGTGGAATGATCCTTCTCTGGAGAAAACCATGGCTGTGCCGAGCCATCTCTCCCTGCTGTTGGCCATTAAGACTTAGCTAGGAGGCTGGAGTTGGGAAAACAAACAGAATGTCGAGGAAGGAAGAGAGACCACCCTTCCCGTCCCAAAGACTGTGGGGAACAGATGGCAGGCAGAAGAATCGAGAAGTTGACATGTATGTGTGTAAGCCCCAATTTTCTCTCAGAGAGGCACCAGGAGCTAGGTCAGGTGAGGAGACCATGGCGAGCAGAGGGGGTTCTAGCAACACAGCACAAGGCTGAGGAGGACAGTGGGCCCAGCAGCAGGGCCAGGAGGAGAGGATCTGGGCTGCCGCTGGAGACTTCTCCAGTTCCTGCGTGGTGGGCACGCTGAGTTAGGAGCCAGAAGCCGAGGATGAAACTCCTGCCAGGGACCAAGATGGAGGGCCAGACAGAGACACGGCAGAATTCCAATCAGCAAGGATGATGTCCTACCAGGCACTGTCTGAGCTGGAAGGAATGGACTCGACGTACAGCAGACACCAGGGTGGCCCAGGGACAGGACTAGTCCTCCCTGACACCGGCCAGCTCACACCCAAGGACAAGAACAAAGACAGAGGGACCCTCGCCCCAGACTGTGAATTCTCCCACACCCCTCCCCACCCACCCTCTCAGGTCAGGAAGAGACTGAGTGAAATCTCAAGAGACTGTTTAAAAAAATCAGATTCCATTATAAGTTGCCTTTTTTCCTGCTCCCCTCCCCGCCAGTACACAGAGGTGAGGTGGGGCTTTTACCAGTTATAGTTTTAAATAAACACCTTATACTTTCTCTGCACATCTGAGAGTGGTGTGAACAAAATTCATGGCCCTGCTACACACTGATGGAGCTGTTTCTTTTTGTTAAATAATGATGTTACCTCTTGCTGGAACACAAATCCAGCTCAGTAGTAAGAACCTGTCTACTGGGAATCAAGGATTTCTTCAAGAAATTGCTCACTTCAAAAAATACCTCTACTTCATAACAAATTGCCAAAGGCTGGGTGGGTAGCTTCCCAGTTCCAGGTGGGCAGTGGTTTGCACAAGGCCTAAGGCAGTGGTCGGCAAACTGCTGCTCTCGAGCCACATGCGGCTCTTTGGCCCCTTGAGTGTGGCTCTTCCACAAAATACCGACTTCTGCGCATGGACCACAAAGTTTCAATCGCACTGTACATGCGCGCCCGCACATGGTATTTTGTGGAAGAGCCACATTCAAGGGGCCAAAGAGCCGCATGTGGCTTGCGAGCCGCAGTTTGCCGACCACTGGCCTAAGGCATGGGCACGGACTCAGAAGGCTGTGGCGTGAAGGCTGCTTCCACTGAGCCTGAAGTTTGTGACCTGGGCTGCCGACTTCCTCTCTCTGAGGCCAAGGGCTCCGGTGTGAAATGAGCGTAACACTCAGCCCACCTGAGGGCTCTATTGAGGTAAAGCTTAGAAGAACTTGGGCCCTAACTGGTTTGGCTCAGTGGATAGAGCATTGGCCTGCAGACCAAAGGATCCCAGGTTCAATTCCGGTCAAGGGCACATACCTGGGTTGCAGGCTCCGCCCTGCTCCGGGCCCTGGTCAGGGCTCCTGCAGGAGGCAACCAATTGGTGTGTTTCTCTCACATAGATGTTTCTCTCTGTCTTTCCCTCTCCCACTCTCCATAAAAATCAATGGAAAGATATGCTCAGGTGAGGATTAACAAAACAAACCAAAAAATAGAAGAATTTGGGATGGAGCCCGATCCCTGTGCACAGCAATTATTTCTGCTCATCAGTAAGTGAAGAGTATGACCAGTATTATTATTTCCACATCCCTCTGTCTGCTGCATTGTAGGGGACCAGAGAATGAATTTTTTTTTTTTTAGACAAACACAGCAGAACTTTTATGTCTAAAATGAATGTGGATCATTCAGGGGCATCTCCACAGGACTGAGACCCACATGAGGGGCACTAAGCAAGTCTGGCACAGCAGCACCGGGCGGTTCCCAGGGCTGCAGCAAGCTACTCGAGGAAAAGGAGTGTACGTTATCCATCACTTCATCCCAGGGCCCCACGCAGGCCTGGAACACAGGGGGGCTATGCCGTGCTCCCCAGGGGAGCACATCTGGGCTCTTCCTCACCCACTCAGTGAAGGTGGATGAACAGACCACCACCCAGGACGAAAGCCAGGGATCCTGAGAAGTGAAATGGCCTCTTCTTTCAGAAATGCCTTCAGCTTCTGAGCCAGCCGCTTTGGTACACCCTTGTGGTGACAAGTCTTGAACTTGAGGCTGGCCTTTATTTTTTGAAACTGTGGGGCCCAGACGACCAATACGGCGAGAGGGAGTTTGTCCAATCATGCCGAGGGAAACCATTTTGGGTGAAATGTGCTAGGAAGCAGCTCAAGGCGCAGGCCCTGTGAACGGGGAGCATGGCGGGAAGAGAACCCACAGATGTGTATAAACCTCTGGACCCAGTGAGCTTTCAGAGGAGGTCAGCAGGTTCGCTGACTGGAGGTGAGGTCTGGTTTGTCTCTTTAACTCTGTGGCCTTAACTCGGAGGCTTTAAAGTCAGTGCAATGGAAAATTCTATTTGTCTTATTTTAAAGAATAAAAGAATAAATGGTCATTCAGTAATGTGCATGTGGTCTATTTTTCTATGAAAATGAGGTCGTGTGTGGACTGTCAGGAAGATGCAATGGAAACTGGTCATCGGACTGGCTCTGGGTGGTGGCGGGGACAGGGGCTCCAGAGGCAAACAGACTCTTCCCACATAGCACTGTGCACCTTTCAGATTGTACGCTATGTGCGTGCGACTGCCCATGAGACAGCTAACAGCACCAAGATGGGGCTACAGCACCACGGTGGGGAAGCCCGAGGAGGCAGCAGCATCCCTTTCCTCTACAACAAATATTTAACCTGAGTTTTCTCTAAAACACAAAAACAAAAAAGCAAACCATGAAAGGTGTAACAGGAGCTACTGATCCCGTGGGGCCTGTTAGCGCGTCCCCGGGCGCCTGGCAAAGAGGACATTTCACTTCTCCAAACTAGTTAGGTCTGCGGTTGAAGAAAATATATACCCTTGACCTAAACCCGCACAGATAATTTGCAATAAAGATAATCAATCTTACAACATGGATCCTGTCACTGACTTTTGAAAAGAAGCCCTCGATCTCTGCCGGCTCCAACCTCTCCCTCCCCTCTTGGCCTTCCACCCCTCA